GGTCTCTGCCTTCCCCCCGCTGGGCGCGGGTTTGGGCACGTCGGGCGCGTGAGACTCCTTGGAGTCTCTACCTGGCATGCGCTGGGCGCAATTGGTTATTGCGCCAGGCGCGTGAGAGCCTTGGGCTCTCTGGTTGAGTCCCGCTGGGCGCGGGCACGCTTGCGCCGGGCGCGCTGGCCCCCTGGTGCTCTCTGGTTGTACTGCGCTAGGCGCAACCACGAGTGCGCCGGGCACATAGATGATAATTCACTATATGCTGTACAATGTTGTTTTGTGCTGAGATAAGTTGAAGTTAATGATTATGATGTGATGACTAGTAGATAAAGCTGTTTGATGATGTTGAGTTGTATCAGATGAATATTGTTGTAAGATGTCTTGATGTGCTGTAAGATGATATGTTCTGCTATAAAGTTGTGATGTGTTGTATGATGATATGAGTTGTTGTAGGCCATAATGGCTGAGTTGTTGTAGGAGATCTCCGAGATGATGTGCGTGACGACGCATTATTTGCCATTTGCTGGTTTGTTGTACAATCGATGAGATGTAGGCTGACGATGTGTTGATAGTTGTAGTTGTTAATATTACTTAAATCTTGTTATACGTTGTTCTTTTATACTAGCTTACCCTTTGTGTTTCCATGTGGTTGGACTGCTATGATCGTACTATGTGCGGGAGCAGAGCAAGGATAAGTGGTGGCTAGTGGTGAGTCTGCAGCTGGCAGGCAGAGCTGATCCTAGTAGATGTTTTGTTATTTTCAGCTACTTGGTGTAGCAGCTTGGGTGTATTTTTTTTTGTACATCTTGAATCTAGTGAGACTTGGACCATGTATATATGTATATTCTAGACACTATATGTATGTACTTGTTCCTTTCTGTCCGATTTTCAGGTGTACTGTGTAGTGTGTAGTGACCAGCCGAGTCGTTACAAAAATCATATCACAAAATAAAGTGACATACCATAAGTTGCTAAGTAAATGAAAAATAATATTTGATTAAAAGGATTATTGGTCGATCCACTCCAATTTGTCATTTAGCTTTGTCATTTAGCTTGATGGGTCGGTAAGTTAGGGGAGACAAGCTAACATATTAAAGTGTCCAACCCTCCTACTAATTTATAACTGTTGGTTGTGATCCACTTTCATTCTCAAATAAAAATCATTTACAAAATTGAAAACATATTCAAGTATTTTTTTTAATATATCAAAGTCACAATTTTTAGTCATTATAATTATAAGAAACTATGATTTCTAGCATAAAAAAAATCTATTTAATTGGATATAAATATTTAGTATATTTATGTTATGTGATAATTAAATATTTTTATTGTATTAATTAAGTAAATGAATATAATGTTTAACTCAAAAATATTAAAAAAAATACATAAAACAATGTTTCGTGATATTTTTTAAATAATAAATTAAATATGAGAACTAATATTTTGACTTTTAAATTCATGAAAAAATAAAAATAAAAGTCGTGTATCAAAACGCCCCCATACAAAAAGTACAATAATCTAATTTATTAAGTCTCCTAAATTAGATGGCACAAGGTCCAGGAAGGGTCAGCCAATTGTTCTTGATGGGATGATATGAAGCTCACATTATAGAGAAAAGATTGAAAATAATCTATTTTATTAATAAAGACCATAAACTTTTGGTGTAAATATTTTGTTAATCGTTATTTGTTATCTCGCTTAACTTTTAAAATATATATTCTCTCTTATATATATATATTATATATTATTTAATTATTTATTTATTATTTTTACTTTTTTATAAATTTGATTTAAATTTTTTTACACCTTCTAAATAATTACTCAAAATCGTTTATTTTTAATTATAAATTACTAATGCGTATTTAATTTTAATTATTTTTTATATATTTTAAAAATATATATACGATGTATGAAGTGTCTCATTTACAACATAATAAAAAAGCTTCCAACAGTGTAAAAGTGACTATTTAATTTTTGGGTCAGCGCATAAAAATTTTAACAAGAAGCATTTCATTTCAATTTTTTTTTTTTGTAAATAAAGGCTTGGTTCATCGGTCTTTAATTCTTTATCTTATCAAATAACTGTGTACAAATTTTTCTAGGTGTATAATGTTTCTCTTTATCTTCCTTAGTAGCGTGTGTTTAACAACATGATTTTGTATTCTCAGAAATTATATTCTTAAAAATAATATAACTTGAAATGTCATTCCTATAAATATAAGAAAACATATTTGGTTTATTTTAATAGTTCTAAGAATATTTTCTAAATTTTAAAATAATTTAAATAAAAAATGAAATTTACAAGGGTTATTAAAAATAACTTTCAATATTTTTATAGGAATATCAATTACCCATCCCTCCATATAAAAATAAGACTTTTCTATTATTGAGAATATCACTTTTCTAGAATATAAAAGATAACACTTTTATATTCTAATAATTCCATCCTTCCTGTTCAAAAAGTAATCAGAATAAGGTTGAAACAATTTTATTTTTGGTTACAAGTTGATATTTTCTAATTATTGCACTTAAATATTTTAAAGTTTTTATAATTTAACATTTTACTTATTTATGTTCAGAAAAAAATAATAGTTGGAAGCAAATGATCATTGTTTTTTTTTTTTTTTCATTTTTATCTTAGTCACTAATGCTTTTTGTTTTGCCTAATGAGGAGCTGCATATCTTTTCTATTTAATCTTCCATTTTGTAATGTGCAAAACTGTGTTTGACATATATCATATCAAATTTTCTCCTTATTGTAAGTGCCATGCATATATGTTCTGTTTTCAACCCTTTGTCTTCACCGCCAGTATCCCCCTCACTATCGCTAGGGTACGATTCTCTTCGGTTTTAACTTCTTTTTATCATTTAATGAACGGCTTACATATAAAGAAAATTATTAACTACATTAATTACTATGCTGTCTATAAAAATTACATTAATTATTTTTACAAAATTAACTTCTTTCTTCTTTTCTTTTTCCCCACCTTAATTCCCTTATAAAAAGAGTTAAAAGTGGAATAGTAAATTATAATGGTGTGAGTTAGATTAAGTTAGATTTAGATGGATTTGTTATCTAGTTTGATCAAAATTTACCAGTTTGATCAAAATAGATTTGTGCATTTTTAATGTGACATTCAATTCAAACAATCCAATTTGACATAATCCAATCCAATTAGCATAGATTGAATTGGGTTGAGTTAGATCAATCTAATCAACTAATTAAATTTATTTTTTTGCTAAATATTTCATAATACATGTGAATCATTTGACATCTCGTTGCAAATGTAACGTTATCTTCATAAAGAAAATAATAATATAAATTAAATTCTAAAATAAATATGTTGATTTGCTATATTATTATTAACCTAAACAACTAACATTAATATAACATAAAATAATTTAAAATAAATATATTATATTTTTACAATGTTATCAACCCAAACAACAAATACAAATACAATCTAAAATTCAAAATAGATTTGTAATTTATTGTGACAGTTGCAGAGTTACTCAAGCACCGAAAGCAAAAGAGTAAGTTCTATTACTGCCCACTTTGTTCTCTACTATAAGTAAAAATGATTAGTTTTACACATTAAAAAAGTCAGTTATTTGTATTAAATTTTACTATTTTCATAAGATTCTTTCTCAATTGTCCTTATTATAAATGTCATAAGAAGTAATGCAACTAAAAGGTCATGCATTAAATGAGATATTTTAGAGAAAATATCATTAAATGATGCAAAAGTGGTTAAATTTGCTTATATTTAAGAATAAAAATGTATGTTTTTTTTCTTCTTCTTATAATAGATAATAGAGGAAATATATTATACTAGAAATGTTGACAACACACTCTTTTAAACATACTCTTTCATTAGTTGAAATTTAATGAGAAACATAAAATTTGTTGGTCTTATATCCTATTTAATGACTTTTTATGTTGATTTTATAGTTTTCAGTAAAGAGTGTGTTAAAAGAGTATGTTAGAGAGTGAGTTTCTGACATTTTTCTTTAGGAAATCCACTAAGATTAAGCGTGTTAAAAGAAGTGTGTTGCTAACACTCCTCATGTTAGAAATATGACTAAAAAACTAAGAAAAAATTATTATTATTATTATTATTATTATATAATCGGGTTGGATTGGTTTATAGGTCAAAAATACACAATCTATTATTCAACTCATAATGCTGAGTTTTGATTGAGTTGGGTTAGACATGACCAGAACTCTAAAAAAATCTTATCTTAAATTATTGAATCTATTTGAGTTAGTTCAAGTTTGTAGGTTACATGTAACTGCTTATACCCCTAATAATTTAATGTCATAAGATACCGATAAATGAGAATATTATCAAAAAAATGATAAATATTTTAAAATAAATTAAAATTATGACAAATAATTTTGAATTTGGATATTTTACATAATAGAATGGTCATATTAGAGATAGAGAATTGAAGTAGTATAGATAAAGTTTTAGCTTTAAATCCTAGTGATGTAATTGTAATTAGAAAAAAGTTTAAATATATTTTTAGTCATCATGATTAATTTATTTTTGTCTCTCAAATTTAAAATTGTTGTTTTTAATATTTTTAATTTTAAAAATAAGTTTTAACATTATCTTTATTTTTAACATAAATTAAAATATTATACATAATTTTTAAATTTTATATATAATTATAATATTAATTATTTCAAAATATATATATATATATATATATATAATTTAATTATAATAACCGATTTCTCACCTAGAAGTGAAAATGGATCATTTACGTAAATAAAAACTGGACCAAGTTATTAAAATAAATTTAAAAAAAAATTAAAAAGTCCCGTCCGGGAGGTGTATATCTTATTATTGAAGAATAAGAGAAAAATAAAATCCAATAATTTTACTGAAAGTGAATTTATTCTTTATTTTGTTTTTATCGGTGGAAGTACATTTCCAGTTTCTTGACATAGTCAACATTCATATTAACAAAAAATGTCTTGTAGGGTAACTACATTGAACCAGTCACCGTTTGTAACGCCAATCTTCTATTGTCGCAAGTCAAGTCTTCTCCCTACTCTGTCTCTCCAATAGAGGAGAAACAAAAGAAAACGCTGGATTCCATAGATCTTTACTTTACCTTGTAAACGTCACAATTGTTCTTGGAAGTGAAGAGATATGGAGAGTGAAAGCAACAAGTATAAGCAGAAGCAGAAGCTAGAGGTATCTGATATCCTCAAGGAATCTGTTATGATCTATTTCAGAAACCTCAACTTCATCATCTACACCCTTCTCACCTCTCTTCCTCTCTTCTGTATCATGGTTTACTTTGAAATTTACCTCCAAGAAATCCTTGTTGAAACCTCCAATATTGTTAACCTGCCACATGATCACTTCACTCGCTATGGCTACAGAAACTGGCCAGATCTTACTATCACAAGATTCAACAAGGATTATTTCCTCAAGTTGATTCTACTTGGATTCATTTACATGGTGCCTCTCTATGTCCTGGAGTTTGTCTCTGCACTTGTGACTATAGATTTGGCTTCAAAGCTACGTTCAAAAGAGAACAAAATGACTCTTAAGGAGATGTTTGAGACACCCTTTGACCTATCAAGGTTGAGAGGCTCATTTGTAACTTCTATTTATGTTCTCTTCTTAACAACTACTCATCAGCTTGGATTACTGTGGATAGTCCTAAATTACCATGTTTTCTTGAAGGGCTTGAGATTTAACGTGTTGTTTGCAGTAATTTGCAGCATGGCATTTGCAAAGGTTTTAAGGATGTATTTGGAATGGAGTGCAATGTGGAATATGAGTCTTGTGATCTCAGTGTTGGAGAGGATATATGGTATTGATGCATTAGCAGTTTCGGCTTATTTCAGCAGAGGCAGTCACAGGAGGGGGCTCTTTTTGATGCTGATTTTCTTTGCTTTAGGACATCTTTTGAGGCTTTCATGCTACCATGTTGGAGGCTATGAGCAAGAGAATGGATTTTTTGTACAAGTTGGCTTGTTCTGCGTGGTGAATCCGCTGAAGTGGGTGGTCTGTGTGATCTACTTCCATGATTGCAAGGAGAGGAAGTTGGAAATGAAAACTGATGAGGAATCAGGGAAAGATGTTAAGAATGGTTCGTGAATGAGAAGTGGTTTGCGTACACAAAAATAAGGGAGTCAATTTGATTTCAGAAGTCAGAACTAAGGTTAAGATAGCTAGCTGGTTAAGCAGCCTTTTAAGATGATTAATCAATGTTGTATTATCCTGACTGTAATATATTAATCAACTTGGTTATTGAAAATATTTTCTGTTCCATTGCTCAGTTACGAAGATATAACAGCCTCTATTAGTGCTTCCCCGGTGAATGAATGTATGGATTATCCATCAATATGAAGAAACTAGCATTATTCCATCAAAAAAATTGATTTTCTAGGTATCCACTAAATTTACAAGAGTCTATTTACTAATAGAAAGGGTTAATAATGTGATTTTAAAGATCCCACATTCTCATACCAGAGTCCATTTACAAGAGTCCATTGCTCAGTTACGAAGATATAACAGCCTCTATTGTTGATTTTTTTATACCAGAGTTTTTTTGTTAAGTGGAAAAAGGTTTCAATTGAATAATGAATACTTCTGAATTTTGAAATACTTTTAAAATAAATTCTAGTTATCTTAAATTAAATACTACAAAAAAAATTTATATTGAAAAAAAATTTAATTGAATACAAAAAGACTTTATAAGAAAAAAAAAATCTTTTAAAATCGTAATCTAATCTTTAGAGTGTATTTGCATAATCGCTTGAGCTTCTGTTCTAATTCTACACATTCATGGACACCAAATGTGAGAGCAAGAATTTGTAGGATTCACTTGGATGGGGTTTCAACATGGTTAGAAGCACAAACTTAATCATGACAATGGATTGGTCCCGTCTCCAAGTTATAAGAGAATAAAAAGATAGATTATAAAGCAGATAATTTTTGGCTTGATGACAACGACTACCATCACGTTTAAGCCATATTTAGGATTTCCTAGACACTTAATCCCATTGCTAATTTTAATCAATCGAAGACACCAGTCAGTTGGTTTTCCATATTGATAAAAGTAATCACGCCAATTGTATTAAAGACACAAGGCAGATCATAATAATGCATGTAAATTTCAAAACTGATAAGATGCAATAACTTGCATTAAACAAAATTTTTCTTAACAGAGCTAAGCAAGGTTCCACATTGTCAATTGTTTTTTGGGGAAAGTTGCTGACAACTGAATCCATCAACTATGTCATTATCACCTAAAACTCATTTCCAGAAATAAATGTTACTCTTCAATGCCAAATTTAATATCTGACTTATTCCAAGGTTCATTGATAGATGGACCAATGCAGAAAATATGAATAATGGACTTCTACAACAGCCACATGAGCTCCTTCATGCTTTTGAAAATCTTAATTAGCTTTAGAACCAATCTTCCTCTTTGCAAATGATGGCAAACAGAAAGCTGCTGTATGAATCTGAAATTGAAGGCCAAGATGCATATTCAGATAAGAATTAGCAGTCCTGCAAAGAAAGGGAAGAATGCAAAATCTCAAAATAGAAGATGGTATGAGTGGGGCAACACACCTCAGAGTTGTAAAATTTCAGTGGTCTTACTGACTTCTGACACTCATTTTCATCTATGGGATTCACTGGATGCTTGAAATCAACAGCTGGTCCCTCGGTTGAGCAAAGCATAAAACCAATCATCCCACTGAAATGAAAAATAAAAGCCACATAAATATGAATAATTATATACATAGTCTCCATCCCTACACAAAATTCACATTATACAATACTGTCATATAGCCCACAAACTCTGGAGAATGTAAAGTGAAAAGGTTCAATGGCCTTGTTTATGAGGGGATTTCAATTTCAAATGATCATTTTCTGGCAGAATTAATATAAACCTATATAGCATGTAATGAATTTGTAGAAGAAAATAGATTTAAAATAAATTGAAAAAAACATACCTTGGGTATGTAGGAACAGTAGTCCAAGCATAGTTGACAGAGCCTTTAAAAATATGGCGACAATTGGCCACAATGTCCTCAATTATATCCATATGAAGCCATATGCTTTCTGCCTGAGTACAAACCACTCCTCCTGGACGAAGAGCCTTTGCAACCGATTGAAAGAAGGGCTTTTCAAAAAGCTCCTGAGCAGGACCTTAGGATACCAAATGTAACATCTTTTTATCAAACAGTTTTATTTTTATATCACATAGAAGAGCAGGAAGCTATAATATGGTATACCAATAGGGTCGGATGAATCCACTATAACAGCATCATAAGTTCCTTCTGGAACTGCCTTCAGAAATGCAACTCCTAGACCATTGTTAGAAAACCCATCATGAGATAACTTCTCCTAAAAGAGTAAAATATTCAAGGGAAAAAATTTTGAAAAGTTGATCATACCATCACCGATATGAAGTGTCACACGAGGATCCTCATACCCTACAGCTACATCAGGGAAATATTGTTTGGAGACCTGCAAGACAATTTTGACTTTGAGCATACACTGTGCTACTTGAAATCTCTGAGCACTAGTGAGTAGACTCTTTAGGCAAACTAAAAAGGAATAGAACAACTATAACCAATTTCCTAATGTAGATAAAAAGAAGTGATTATATGCGAATAACATAATAGCCCCAGCAACATAATTTAGCTTCTGTTAGAGACAGGAAAGAGAGTAAAATTTGGCGTCCCTTACATCAACAACCATATTGTCAATTTCACAAATGTCTATCTTTTCAACTGAAGAATGGCGTGCTACTTCTCGTAGGACCCCTCCATCACCTCCTCCGATAACCAAAACCTAAAAGAAAAAAATACAGGGAGAAAAAGTATATAAATTTGATGATTAAACACGCAATCTAGACATAAAACAAAAGAAGACCTTTTTGGGGTTTGGAATAGAGCAAAGAGGAAGATGAGTGATCATTTCTTGGTAGGCACATTCATCCCTTTCTGTTAGCTGAATTACTCCATCCAAAACAAGAACCTTGCCATATGTTGATGACTGCAGAAGACATCACAGCAGTGCATTTGAAAATAAAGATCGTAGGAACATGAAAAAGGGGAAAATTATAACACTATCTTCATAATTTACTGGATCCTCGTGTACCTGGAAGACCATGATATTCTGGTAATCAGACTTTCCTTGAAACAAAATCTTTTCCACCTTCAAGGAGTGAGCCTCTCCTGCAAAATTACAACCATATTTTAATTCATGAGTACTATTACAAAACAGAAGCAAAAATTATGAGTTTTATCTAAAAAAGACAGATTACTGTGTGCACATATTTCTAGGATTTTAGCAATGCTTTGGTTCAAGAAAAAAATAATTAACATGTATTTAAAGACATTCATTGCAGATAAAAAAATATTTTGAAGAGCTACCTTACTAATCAACAAGTTGCATCTTCAGGCAAAAATATATGTAACTAGACAACCAGACCAAAGGCAATGGTCCCAAGATTAACATGACATCCAGGACAAAAGAATATAAGAAAAATAAGAAGATTCTTTTTCTTTCCCTAGGTAAGCATGCACTTTACTGGAAAAAAATAGTTATGATAACCTATTGTATCTCATGAACTCAGAAAAAAAAAAAAAAAAGTTGAGACAGAGCAAAGACTTGGGAAGTTCAATCCAAAAATGATAGTAGGTGATGTATGATTAACAGGGGAAGAAAAGAAATTGGTGAAAGGACAGGGATTAGATCTTTTTTGTGTTGACATATAGTAACTGCCTATTTAACTTTATGAAATATTTGTTCTAGCACATTCCTTTTTCTATTTAGACACCCATTTATGCAAATAATCATGCATCAAAATAAAAGGACCCGAATAAATATTTCTTGTATGAATCTAAGAGATGCACTTTAGAAGATAAAGCATAAAGTTATAAGAGTTGATTGAAACAACTGATATTGTAATAAAATTCATGCAAGTATATAATAAACAATGAAATTGCAAAAATCAACTTCATAGATTTTTCAATAATGGTTATGACTTTTTGCACTTTACCTTATAAATTTCACGCTCACTTTAGAGGAATCAATTCCTTTTAAAACGACCATCATTCACTTTGTTTGAAAACAAATAGCCGAAGATCACAGAAAAGTGACATTTAAGTAGAGCAAGTTCCAACGAGGAAAGCCATTGATAAATGGGAAGATGAATAGCACCCTAACTTATAAAGGGAACTCATTCCAACACATTTGAAAGTGAATTTCTTATACACATAAATTTTATATCAGCACACTCGTCACTGACATGATCAGCTTAGTATTAAAATAGTGACATAATATCATTGCAGAATTGGACCACACGTTGAGCTAAACTACCACATGTTCAGATGTCAAAGTAAAAACATATAAAACTAGAACTCTACAAATCATGCAGCCAGACAAGGGGTAAAAAAAAATAAAATAAAAAAGGGTTATAAATAATCAATTATAATTTATAAATAACAAATTAACAACCATAAGAAAATTCATTGTTCCATGAGAGTAATTCTAAGAAGCTTGTAACATATATATCTACACACTTGCTGGTACATGACAGGGAGATATTAATAAAACGACAATAGTAAAACAAGATGTAAAAACAGAAACACAACTCACCAGACACCCAAATTTAACAGAAATCAAGAAAAATAAAAACAAACAGATAAGTGATTATCAAATCCAAATCTCTTCAGACAGAGACAAACCCCATAAGAAGAAGAACCCATAAATTGACAAAAGCTTAGTTTTCCACACACACACAAACAAGTTAAAAAGGTTTAATTTCCTTTCCAAGCAAGGAAAAGGCACAACTTTTGGAAGCAACAAACAAAAGGGTATGTTAAAAAGAGCACCAACCAGGCCACATTGAACTGATTTCAGAGAACCAGCCAGGAATCACAGATGATAAACCATTAACAAGAGGGTCTTTGCCACCCTCCACATCCATGGAAACAGAGACCCCATTTTCTTCATCATCTCTTTGCCTCTTCACTGGGGACTCAACAACGCTATCGTCAGCCATGGCCTAACCTCTCTCCCTCGGTGAGAACAATCTCTCAAGTAACACTCTGTTTGGCTCTTCCCAGCTTCGTGAGATATTATTGGGGAGATGGAATAGCATAAAGGGAAAAGGGTGTGGGCCACGTGGGAATATAGAAAGGAATCTGCTTTTAAGGGATGCGTTTGACGTGCGCTTTGGTTTGGGATCGGAGCATTGAAGGAAGGTGAAGTGCTTGCCAAACACGGCCTTAGGATATGCATGTTACGTGTTGCTTCCTGTCAAGTACATGTGAAAGTGATGGGAGTCTCCGTTAGGTTTTCCTTGGAATAAGGCTTCTTCTTTTGCTTTGCCTTTAATCTCTAATTCGTTACCATATCTTTGTCTCCAACCTTAGTGCTTATCCTCTCATTTAATGGGACAAAAACTTAGTACAATGCTTTAAGGGCTAGTTAAAATAAAAAAAATCACACTTTTTATTATTTTTAATTTTTCTAAATTAATTTCTCATTCAAAATTATTTTATTTTAAAAATGGTCTCTAAAACGGGTATTTAAGAAATCCACAAACAAAATCAAGTGAGAGATATTTTTTCATTCTGTTCTTCTATTTTGTGGTCCTAACTAAAAAAGTATGAATCGTCTCATCTAGTGATATGATACTGTATGTGGTGAGAAATAAATATTAGCGTGTGGGATTATTTAAAAAAGGAAAACTAAAAATTATTTTAAAAGTAGAAATCAGATACGTCTGAGTTCTTTTTTTTTCAATGATGTTTTCAATCAAACTTGAAAATTTTAAGTATCCTCTTTTTATTTTACAAAAGTTGCCATTTAGAAAGTCATACTGTTTTCTTACTCTGTTGATTGATAATTGAGATTTTTTTATGGATTATGTTGAAATTCAACCAAAGAATATAATCAACTTTTCTCTATATACATAAAATAGATATAGTTATTTTATACGAGAATGTTTTGACAAACTTTTTATTAACAAAAAGATTTTTAATTTTTTTTAACTTTATATTTAATTTAATTTTTATTTGTCTTTATTATTTATAAATTAAATTTAATATCTCAAGCGACAAATCTAACATAAGATTATACGTCTCATATATAAGATATATAAATATGACATTATCTTTTTTTGTTGTAAACATAGTTCTCATTGTTTGACAGATTTTAATATATGATAATTTACTTTTTTTTATTTTCATTGAAAATAATTATTATCAAAACATGTTTTATACTAATATCTCTAAAAAAAAAGTAAGCATTACATTATCTTCTCTTATATTAAAATACATATTTTTTCTCTCTTGATAAATGTAAATATGATACATTTTAACAATTTATCTCTTAAATTATATAATTAATTATTATTTCAAAATTATTATGAATTCTACTAAAATTAATTATATATTTAAAGAAATAATTTTAATTATTATTTTCACAAAAAAAATATTTTAAAGTTATTGAGTTAAAGAATTATATATATATATATATATATATATCTTTTTTTCTAAAAAGCAAGGTATTCTCTATATTAATATTTAAATGAACTAGTATTTTTCTTATATAATATTAATTATTATATATATTAAAAAAAATATAAAAATATTAAGTTAAGGTTTAATTTATGTTATTAATATAATATTTTATATATTCAAATTAATAAAATGATATTTTATGATAAAATATTAATTATTATATTTATTAAATTAAATATAATTCTAAAATATGTATATTAAACGTACAACTCCTTAAACGAGTTTATTTTTATTAAAAATCTATTATGGCATAAAATATTATTTTTATATATAGTTTATATATAATTATATATTATATATACATATATTTATATATACCTAATTTTATTTCATAATTTTTATTTATTATTTTAATAAATCACTTTAAATTTAGTTATATATTTTATAATCTTTTATCAAGAGAGTGAATTGATGACAATTTATGAATAACATATATTTTTGTTAGTCAAGCAACCTTGTATAACTTAAGAGGGGAGTGAATTAAGTTAGAGTTAATCACTTATACACTGCCAGTGTAAAGTTTTTTTACACAGGTAACTAATCATATCTTTTAATAGTGTCATGTCATTTGCTTATTTAATGAACTAAAAATAAAATAAAATAATTTAAAAAGATATGATTGGTTGCCTGTGTAAGAAACTTTACACTGGCCGTGTATGGATGATTAACTCATTAAGTTAACCAAATTTTCTTCCTTTCTGAGTTTTTGAAAAACTTTCTTATAAATTCAATTTCTTAGACAAATTGTATGTAAAGTATATTGATGAAAAACTACTCAAACACAATTAAATAACAAGTAATTAAAAGTGTAGGGAAAGAAGAATTGCATACTGGTTCCGCCAATCTTGCCTACGTCCAGTCCTCAAGTCTCCAAATTGAGATTTCCACTATTCTTGTAGTGCTTACAAGACTTGAATCCTCCAACACCTTGAAATTCTCCTTCCTTGTGTTGAGATTCAAAAACCAACAAGGAGAACAACTCTTTCTCCTTCCCAAATCAAAAGATCAAGTGGGTATAACAAAGTAACTCTCTTTCAAGAGTAGATATTACACCTTTTAAGATCTTAATGAACTCTTTAGAGAATAATGCAAATGACTTTGGTCAAGAAGTTTTGTAAATATCTCTTTCACAATAGAGTTTGTAACCTTTTCTGAAAGAATTATAGGTATTTATAGACAAGTATTCCTATGGTTAAGTCTTCTCATGAAAAGTTGTAACCCTTTATAACTTTCAAAAAAGATACACTGGTAATCGATTACAACGATTTTAAATTCAAAAACAATTTGAAACGTTGTTTCTTTAAATTCAAATTTTTGAAGTTCCCTCATCTGGTAATCGATTACAAAGGATGGTAATCGATTACCAGAACTTATTTTTGTATTTGAAATTCGAACTTTGAAGTTTCCTTGCTCTGGTAATCGACTACTTAAACCGGTAATCGATTACCAGACAAATGTTAAAACATTTGCTATACAAACTTTTGATATAGGAAAATTTTCTAATTATCAGTCAAAAATATTTTTGTAAAATATTTTTGAACACTCTTTTTACTTTCTTTTCAAAAAGATATAAAAACTTCCTCTTATATTCAAAAAGATTAAATTGAGGTTTTCTTGAAATTCTAGTTTTAATGGCCAAGTAAAATTTGCAATTTCTAAAAGTTCCTTTTACATATTTAGCTAAGTTGAAAAGACTTATCTAGTTAATTCTTGAGATCTTGTTTCTTGATCAACTTGCTTTAACTTGACCTTTTATTTTCTACAATGCTTTGCCATCATCAAAACTTTGTGCATATGTTCTTCCACAATTTTAAATAAGAGTATATTTTTAAATCTTATAATAAATATTTTTTTGTGACACTAAGTTAAATATTTTAAATTATATATTTTAATATAATATATGAGTGACAACATAATACTCATATCACTCAAGAGAGAAAATCGAAACTTATTTTACCTTTTGGTATACAAATTAAGGATAATATAATATTCTTATATTTAAGAAGAAGGTAATGTAATTTAGTACTCAAATTATAAATGTAGAAGATTTTAATTTTTCATTTAAGTTAATATTTTAAAATATTTGTTGTTATTAATAATTTTTTAAGGAACTAGTAATCTAATCACACCCGAATGAAAGGGATCCAAACATTTGTACAGATATAAGACTGTACAATTGAGGATGACTTAAAAGAATTAATGTATACTATCTATACTAATAAAATGCATATACTTTTTGGCAACTCATCACTTAAGAACTCCATAGTTAAGCATTTTTTACTTGGAGCGATTTAGGGATAAATGATCTTCTAGAAAGTTTTCTAGAAAGTGTGTCAATGAGGAAAAAGTAAGTTAAAAAGTCTTGTATTGGTTTGTAAGGACATTCGTTGATGCTAGAGGGGCATCTCAAAAAGGGCTACTCACAGAAGGTTTTGGTTGGTGAAGGATTTTAACCAATAGAGAGTTGTGTGAAGTGTCACATAGTGAAGTGTTGTGGAATGGAGCCGTTGAAACGTTAATTTTGAGGGGTGTTGTAATGACCTATCTAATCACTAAACTTACTACGGTCCCAACAAAAAATAAGCAAAAGCATAAGCATCAAACATTTGTTTTATGATATCATGCAACAAGTAGGTAAATTTCATGCAAGCAATCATATATGTAAGAAATAAAACAAGTATTCCTAAACATATATATGTACTTCATATAAAAGAAGTAACTACTATATACAAAATAAACCTAGTCATTGCTCAAGCATCTATACAAGACTTAGCTACCTTAGGGTAGTAACATCCAAAAGAGAACCACCTCCAACATGACTCACCACTAAACAACACAACTTGACCTGTTAATCTTATCTTACTTTCATATCAAGTATGATTATTGCAGTCCCAAACCACAAGGAAAAACATAGGGTAAGCTTGTAATACAAAGCAACATCATACAACAACATAAAACATAAACAACTTAAAAGAAACATCATTCATTACATCATATAATGTCTGGCCATACAACTTAAAGTACCCAAGCACTCACATAACTGAGGTAATTTCATCATCGTTATCAAATAATACATTATTTTCATACACAATTACGTTGACTTCGTTCTTCATATAACAACTCATATACCTTTGCACTTTTAGCTTAACAACATTTACATACACATATATACATATATAACCATAACTAGTTATGTAACAAGCAGCATGAACAACTATAAGTACCAAAACATCACAAATAACTAAATCAATACAACAACTCATACAACTTTAATCCAGTCAAAATATTCAACAGAACAACATAGATATACAACTGATGCATCGTCACACATATCAACTATAGAGATCTCCTACAACTGAGGTGAGCAATTTAAGTTGTTTGACCCTACTGAATCACAACAACTGGTATAATACCATAATTGACACTAAAGTTAGAAACAGGGATTAGCACAAGGCTAGAAACAACGGCTAGCATAAGCTAGATTGATTTCTCATATTTTTACCACTTAAACTAGGAAGTATATATGGTACCATGTCAAGGTATAACAATTTGGGTATGGGCCTACCTTGACATTAGCTTGCAACACTAAATCCCTTATGGGATTAGCCCAACGACTACCCTTCAAATACCACAACCCTTCAATACTTGATTAGGGACTAAGTCTTTGACTTTGTACTTTACTCAATTGGCCACTTGTAATCAGTATAACTCGACCTTGCCCTTATATTATGGGCACTT